ATTCTTTCCTTCCTTCATTCATTCTTTCCTTCTTTCCTTTACTTCCTTCTTTACTTCCTTCCTTTTTTCTTTCCTTCTTTCCTTCCTTCCTTCCTTGTTTCCTTCTTTACTTCCTACCTTCCAAACAAACAAAACTCTGAACTGAACACCACTTGATATCAATCACATACTTAAAGATTGAATTTAGCACCCGATCTGAACAGGCACATTCAGACCTGCAGCAGGCGAGTTGGGAACAAGCACCAGACCTGAACTCTCCCTTCAATGTGTTCAGGTGCACCAGCTGCTCCAGTCGCACCAGGACGCTGCCACTCAGATCTCCAAGCAGCAGTGCTGGCAGGACACCCTCTTGCGGTTGTACCTCCGAGGTGAAGGCTCCCTGCCGCTACGCGGCTCCGACTCCGCCAGCACCTGTAGCCTGGACCTCCATCGGAACGGCAGCACCAACCGCCTCGAGCTGCCGCTGGAGAAGAAGCTGCGGACAAGCAGCGCTGGCCGCTTGGACCGACTGGACGACGACCGACTCAGCATCAGCGACACTCGCTCCGTGGACAGCCTGGAGAACGGCGACGTCATCTCGCTGCTGGACACCCCGTCGTCATCCGCCTCCAACGAGCCGCAGCTCCCGGTCAAAACCTGGGTGCTGGGTAAATCCGGGGGCTTGACGTTAGACCTGTCCCACCTGCAGTGTGAGGTTGGGGAGAGCGGCAGCCAAACACCTGGCAGCATGCCCAGTACACCTTCTCCACTTGAAACCTCAAAGCCTTTCCCTGCTGATAAAGAAGCTACTTCGTCTCTGGCTGAGGACAGTTTCCTGTTCAGTGACAACATCTCATTAGGGGAGTCCTTCAACAATGCTGAGGTTGGTGATTTCAGTATACCTACAGCTGAAATTGTAGTAGCTTCGTCTGACGTTAACCTTCTGCTGGGCGTATGTTTCCCCCTAGAGGGCCGAGGAGGAACTGTGCAACATGCTGCTGGAGATCGTCCCGGTTGTGATGTGGCGGGGCATCGAGGGTTCGGATGATTCGGCGTGGCTGGAACGTGGCCAAGTCTTCTCAGCCCTCACCAAACTAGGAACCGCCAATGAGCTGCTGCTTCCTGTCGACCACATCAAGCTCAGGTCAGCGTCTCATTCAGCCCTGATGAATCGAACGTTTCCTCAGGAAACGCCTGCTTGACGGGTTTGTGTTTTGACTCCAGTCTGTTGGAGCGCATGTTGGAGTGGGCGGTGACCGATAACCGCGAGGCCTCAACCGCTACGTTGCCCCAGCACACGGAGAACGCGGTTCGGCTGCTTCACATCGTGCAGGACTTCCTGCAGGCCGAGGGTTTGGTCAATCCAGGGCTGTGGACGGAGAAGGTTCTGGAAGAGACTGTGACCCTGATGGACTGCCTCATGGTGTGGTACTCTGCTGGCGCTCAGTGGTTTCAACTCTCCCAAGTAGGACTGAGACTTCTTCTGGGATTCATGGCTCAGGATGACCCCGAGGTAGACTATGTAATCAAGAGTGTTGACTTTTTCCTCTTTGGCTTCACTTCCGGGCACGTTTGTAACGTATTCCCTCTGTCCCAGGTGTGCGCGATGGCGACTGCTAAGCTCAATGGCATCCTGCAGACCAAGGAGGTGACGAGTCAGGATGAGGCATGCTACCTGCTGGGGAAACTGGAGGGAATCCTGCGGCGCTCCATCCAGGAGCAGACCGAGGAGATCTACTCCTTCCTGGTTCCGCTGCTGCGAACGCTTCTCTCCAAAGTCAGCCGCCTCCTCTACATGGAGCTGCACCTCCCTCAGCTCCCCGACACCAACGGGAGTCCATCCTTTTTCGAGGACTTTAAGCTGTACTGCGACTCGCCCGAGTGGCGTGTCTACCTTGACAAATACGTAAGAGAGTTAATTGTTTCAGATTCAATTCAACCTTTATTTATACAAGTTAGTCTCATTGAGCCTTGAGGAATCGTTTACAAAATACAGACTATAAAAGCTGGAAAACCTTAGCAATTGTTTCAGCTCAATAATAGACAATTGTATCGTCGGCATAGAAATATAAGGATGCATCAGGAATGAACTGACCTACATTACTTATGCAGATTGTGAAGAGGTTGTGACCTAACACTGAGCCTTGTGGTACACCGTTGTTAACAGTTAGATAGCTGGATGAAGTACCATTATGTTTAAGGCATCAGATAATCTCAGAAATAAAAATAAGGTTCTAATCAAGTTTCTTTTTTTAGATTATTCCGTACATGAAGCAGTATGAGATCGAGACGTTCAGCCAGGGTCATGAATCCATGGCTCTGTACTGGAAGGAGTGCTACGAAGCCTTCATGGTCAGCCTGCATAAGAGGGAAAGAGAGAGGGGAGAGAGCAAGATCCGCTTCCAGGTTAGCTCGTGTTCATAACCAAGTCTCCCCCCCCCCCCCCACCCCCGGTGGTTTGTCCGTCAGAAGCTTCAGCTCTTTATTTTCCATCTTTCAGGAACAATTTGTGGAGCCCTTCTCACGCCGCAGCCGCCAGGAGAACCTGCGCTACAACAACATGTTGAAGCAGCAGCACAGCCAGAACAGCTCCACCCTCAGGCAGTGGAAGGCATCACGGCGGGGTCTGGTGTGTGAGAGAGGTCCCTGGGCTGACAGGTGCTGGCATTACCAACATGACTGCAAGCTAAGACATATTTATATACAATAGAGTTAGCTGTAATGTGAAATTCAGCTGATGGCTAAAACAAGATTAAACTAGAGAAATTTGATTTGTTGAAACATGAACAAGCTTAAACTGAGTTATTACAGCTGAATAAAAATGATGCTAGAAACTAAGCTAAAAAATTAAGAATGAAGAAGCTAAAAAAATGGAAAATAATTAGCTGAAATTAGCAAAAGACTAGCTTAAAAGTAAAAATGGCAAAAAGGTAATTTAATGGTAATGGTAACAAAATGCTTGCTTCAAGGTAAAAGTAGAAAAATGCTACTTTTATGAAGGCAAAAGTAGCAGAAGGCTGGTTTTAAGAAGGTAAAAGTAGCAGAAGACTAGCTTTAAGAAGTAAAAGTAGCAGAAGGCTAGCTTTAAGAAGTAAAAGTAGCAGAAGGCTGGTTTTAAGAAGGTAAAAGTAGCAGAAGACTAGCTTTAAGAAGTAAAAGTAGCAGAAGGCTAGCTTTAAGAAGTAAAAGAAGCAGAAGGCTAGCTTTAAGAAGTAAAAGTAGCAGAAGGCTAGCTTTAAGAAGTAAAAGTAGCAGAAGGCT